TTATTTACTTTGTATCCCAGCTGTAGCCCCCTTCCTCCTTCCCTCCCAACCCCACCCTCCCTCCCTCATCTTCTCCCTACCCCTTTCCAAGTCCACTAATAGAGGAGGACCTCCTCTCCTTCCATCTGACCCTAGCTTATCAAGTCTCTTCAAGCCTGGCTGCAATGTCTTCTTCTGTGGCCTAGCAAGGCTGTTCCTCCCTTGGAGGCGGGGGGTCGAAGAGCTTGCCATTGAGCTCATGTTAGGAATAGTCCCTGTTCCCCTTATTACAGAACCCATTTGGACACGGAGCTACCATGAGCTATATCCGAGTAGGGGTTCTAGGTTATATCCATACATGGTCCTTTGTTGGAGAAACAGTCTCATGAAAGACCCTTGTGCCCTGATATTATTTGGTCCTTTTGGCGCTCTTGTACTCTCCAGGTCTTACTAACTCCCCCTTCTTTCATATGATTACCTGCACTCTGTTGAAGGTTTGGTTATGAGTCTTAATATCTGCTTTGATACACTGATAGGTAGAGTCTTTCAGAGGCCCTGTGTAGGCTCCTGTCCTGTTACTTGTTTTCCCCTACATCCAATGTCCATCCCATTTGTCTTTCTAAGTGAGGATTGGTCATCTTACCCTGAGTCCTCTTTCCTGTTTATCTTCTTTAGGTGTATAGATTTCAGCATATTTATCCTATCTTACAGGTCTATGTAAGTGAGTATATACCATGTGTGTCTTCCTGCTTTTGGGATACCTCACTCAGGTTGATTGATTCTAGGTCCCACCATTTGCCTGCAAATTTCATGATTACCTCATTTTTAATTGCTGAGTAGTATTCCATTGTGTAAAATACGTTTGCGCTCAAAAGCCTTTCTTGACCCTAGATTAGGTTATAGCTTATTGTGACACATGCACAGCATGAATGGACTCTAATTGAATAATCTCATTTTATAATAAGAAAAAAAACCATAGTAGACATGTCAAAAAATTCAATTAACTAGAATTTAAACATTTCTTGTAATTTGTATCTACAGTTCATTTTCAGTATTGTGCATAGTTGTGTTCGTTGTTCATTAAAGACAAAGACTGCAAGACTATGTGTTAGCTCATAATAGTGTATCATTTATTCACTAATGGGGATATTTTTAACTCCATATGGAAATGATCTGTCATCAGACCCAAAATGTAAATATATGTGACATCATTCAAATAAAAATATTTAATATTTAGTAACAGCGTGAAATAAAAGCAGTAAAGCATCAGGAAATGCACAGTGATTACGATGTAAGTTAGTAACACTGATTTATTCAGTTCTAATAACTTATATTATGGAACCTATGACTTAATTGGATGTGGTAAAAAAAATTGTTTCATCCCTCCTTGCTTTAGAAGAGTGAGCACCCGTGAAAGGTACATGTCAACCTTACTAATACTATGAAAAATGTTTGAGCAAATATTCCCATGATCCCACTGTGGATGTCATAGAGGGGCAGAGGCTTTCAGAAAATCAAAAATAACTCTGTAGATCTTAGGTAAAGGCATGCTTTTGGCATCTTTTTGGCAGTTTGTTTGGCAAGAAATATTGGGCTAAACCAACTCTGATCAAGTATTGCTCTTCTGGTTCACTGTGCTCTATGGACATGTCTGAATTTTCTTAGCACTAGGCTCTTCAGTTGATGGGTAATTTGTAAATTGGTATGTTTAAACTTAGTGTCTAACACCTTCTATGTCATAAACAATTTAATGAGTATTTTTAGTAAGGAAATTGAGTAGTTTTCTAGTAACAGTAAGGAGTCTGGTAGTTCCTGCTGGAGAGAAAGCTCAGTGGTTAAGATCCTTTGCTGCTCTTGAGGAGGTGTGAATTTAGTTCCTCACATCAAGCCGATCACAGTTTCTTGCAATTCCACCTTTCGCGTTTCTCATCTGTTCTCATGGCCTCTACGAGCTCCTGTAAAAATATGTCATGTGAACGCACACAACAAGCAAGTGAGCATTAGCGCAATCACATGCACATGTGCAAACCCACACATGCACACACACAAACAGCTAAGTGAATTAATGAATACATGCAACAAGTCTTCTACAAAACCAAGTGGGAGAAATAACTGAAAAGGGTGGAAGAATGAGAGAGAGAGCGCTTTCTAATATACTGTGCCAAAAGTAAGTGATACCCCACTTTTGGTTTTACAAATTTATCTTGGGCCTTCATGTAGTTGTAATAAGATAGCCATTAGGATAAAGGTTTCTAAGATGTATCCTTTCACTTGTTTGGTTTTAAGTGAGTGAGGATGAGAAAGTATGGCCCAGTTATCAGTCTGAGAAAAGTATGCTTTCAGGGAGTATGAGGGGCCTTTTCCTTTCAATTGGCTTCTTCCTGCAGTCTGTGATCTGGAATCCATAACAGGACTCCATTAAGAGCAAAAGAGGAGGCGGCAGGTTTCCTCTTGTCAGAAACTGGCTGTGTTCCTTCTGCTGCTCTCTCTAAATTAAAGGTTGGTTCTAGGCTGCCTCTAGCTCATTGCGGATAAGCACCAAGAGCCATGGAAACAGCAAGAAACATGGTCCCTGAATGAAATCGGACTTCTTGTGGCAGTTCCTGCAATCACTCCTCTCCAGGAGCTCTTTTCTTTGACAGAAGTATACTTAGGTGCTTTCTTGTCTTAGACCTTGGTGTTACTTTTCTATTGCTGCATGCACAAATTTTACATGTGATTAAACTAACAGGTCACAACGTTGAGGACTATCTTTAGCAAAATTAACAACATTTTGAAAAGCTGCTTCATACAAAGTCTCACAAAAGACTCACAAAAGAGAAATGAATAAAAGAAAAAATGAATTAAATTCCCATCCTTATCCCTCCTTTACTTTTCTTTCCCTCAAAAACAAGATTACATTATGCACTTACAAGTAACAACATCATCTTCTAAAGGGAGGCTATTTTTCTTTTTAGCATTTTAGTGGTTCTTGATGAATTTCACATCATGCAACCTCAATCCCACTTATCTCTCCCTTCCCTATTACCTGCCCTCCACCCTGACTACCCCTTCCAACAGAGAAAAAAAATCTTGTCAAAGCTATAGGCATAACAGCTTGCCCTCTTTTGTCCACATTTACTTGCAAATGTAGACGGAATCTCTTGTGTGATATATGGATACAGTCACCTTTCAACTCAAAGACCTATGGCCTATGACTGAGAAGGAAGTATGTGGTGCATCCAGCAGGCAGAATGGACGGTGGGATATAGGTAAATGCATGAAATTCAGCCAGTAAGTTGTGTGGTGGAAGGACAGATGTTGCTTGAGCTCAGGTAACTGGCCACATGGCAGAGTTTAGATTAGTATAAATTACATTAGTATAATTTTAAGTTATAAATTAGTCAGAGAAGAGCTTAGCTATTTGTGCATTTGTATTTGTATTTGTATTTGTAGCCATTGTATTTGTAGAATACTTAATGAGTATCATGAGTAGTTGTTCTGGGAGCTAAGGGAAGGGAGGAAAAACCACCTGAAACAGAATGGCATCCTGCAACATGCAAATGTTTATTGCAATGACTCTTTGGTTTGAGTCAAGGCCTCTGGCTCCTACTACTCTATTAATACTGTCCTCTCGGATATTCTGTTATTGTCCTGTGTCAGGGAGATCCTGTATTTTTGGATCTGTAGGACCAGCCCCTTCTTGCACTCCAGTCGTTCATCAATGCGGTGAATGTTGAGGTAGGACATTTCAAATCCCCGTGTCTGGGCCTGAGATGTCTCTGAGTTAGACAGGCCACAGAATCTCCTGCTCTCATGCCCTTACCCATAACCTCCTCCCTGACCTCCAACCAGGGCCAGCTCTACCCTGCTGCCCAGGCAAGGTGCACGGCCCACTCTTCCATTTGTGGCAACCAGTGAGGGGCACGGTAAACTGTCCAATTCTCATGACCCTGGAGCCCGCTTTCCCACCTGACATTATTGGCAAAGGATGAGAGCAGAGGGGCATCTCTGCATTGTCTGCTGTGCCATGGCAGACAAGTTGCTGTGCCAGCTCTCCCATACCCAGACCATTGGGGCCAGCTCACCCCTTCCCCACCATCAGGGTCAGTTCTATAGTGCAACCCAGGTGGGGGGCAGGACCAGCTCTCCTGTTCTCGTGACCCCATCTGGGCCAACTCACCTGCCCTCTGTTGGTGTTGAGGGAAAAAGAGAGAGGGTGGAATCTTCCTCTGGTGGATGCTGCTATACAGCAGAGGAGATGCAGGCCTGCTCTCCCATACTCATGCCTTTGGGGCCAGTTCACCCACAATCTGCACAACCCGGACCGGATCTTCTATACGGCGCAGGTGAACTTCAGGACTGTTCTCCAGAGCGCTGCAGCTGGACAGGGATAAGGTCAGCTCTCCTGTTTTCATGCCCCAAGGGCCAAATCTCTCAAGATGCTCACATGAAAGGTAGAGCCAGTTTTGCACAGCCCTCAGACATCACCATGTCCCCTGGCAGCACCCCAGACCAGGGATGTCCACCTGGTCTTTGTTGGTAACATGCCGGTGTTGCTGCAGGGACACAGACCCAGAGATGGCCTTCGATGATATCACAGGTCAGGACCCCATGATGATCTCAGGTGGCATCTCCGACTACGTATATCGGGCTGTTACTCCCTACCCTTGAATCTCCAGCTCTGCCCCTCTTCATTATGTTCACTTCCATCTGTTTCTCCACCACTTACTTGCTCCTCTTAGTGGTACCCAGGGTATCTGAGTGTCTGGGGTTGTCTTGGGAGTGGTCTCAGAAGTGCTATGCCCCATTCATGCATTATGGCAGTGACCCCTCCGACACTCCTAGGCCTGCACTGGTGAAGGTTACCCAAGCCTAGCTCCCTGCCTGAGCATCGTGGTACCGGTTTGATGGTCATCTTGAGCTCACTCCTGCCTGGAGTCTGTGGTCCCAGGTGAGGTTCTTCTAGTCTATTGCTGGGAATCTATCTGAGCCTGCTAGATACCAGACTGATGATTGCCTCTGGCTTTCTTGTTTCAGGGCATGTCAGGACACTAATCACTCAGATGCTCACAGGTCACACTGAGTATAGGCATAACCTCTCCACTCTCCACCATCTACTGACACACATAACACAGCGGCCATACCTTCAATGACTCTAGGGGAATTTAAAAGGTGGTTTCTTAAGAGCTACATTTTGCTATAACTAAACTGCTGCCAGCATTCAGCAGAGCATCAAGGGTGCTCAGTTTCATTGCATAATAGATTCATTAAAAAGCATTTCTGCCCAGGCCATGTGGTTAAGGCATATTAAAAATCCAGCAGGTCCCTGTGTCTTTTATTTACATAACAGCTGGTTAAGGAAGACCTGACACCTTAATAATTATATGAATCAATGTTAAATATTAATAATCATTCTATATACATCCACAGATCTCTCCTCCCATTTTGCACAAATTTTTTAATTAGTTTAAATTTTTATTAATTATAATTTATTTGTTTTGTATCCCAGCAGTATAACTCTCTCTCATTCCCTCCCAATCATATCCTTCATCCCTCCCTCTTCTCTTCCATAGTCCACCGACTGGGGAGGAAGGTCCTCCTCCCATTCTATCTGATTTTCTATCAGGTCTCACCAGGACTGGCTGCATTGTCTTCTTCTGTGTCCTGTTAAAGCTGCCCCCCTCCCTCTGGTGGAGATGAATAAAGAGTAGGCCACTGAGTTCATGTCAGAGACATCCCCTGTTCCCCTTTCTAGGGAACCCACTTGGACACTGAGCTGCTGTAGAATTAAACTTATTCTATGCTTATTAAAAACAAAAGAAAACAACAACAACAAAAAAACTGGTAACTGCCTTTCTAAGACTAGTTTGATATGGAAAGCACTGATATTTGCCAGACATTTTTCCATTGAAAAAAAGTAGAATTTATGTTATAGTAGAATTTATGGCTGAATAATATGTCATTTTGCTGGGTATTTAGATATGACATCTTTGTCTTTTCATCAGTAGAAGTGGGCCTAGGCTGATTCCATAATTTGGCTACTACAAAGCGTGACATAATAAGCACTGCTATGCAGACATTTCTATTGTACATGACCTTGACTCCTAATCTTCAAGGTGGTTTCACTAGGATACATTCCCACCAGGAGTGTTTTCTTTTTTTTGTGACGATATCTATTCTAACAGGGATGTTATCACATGTTCCAATAAATTTGATTTGTACTTCACTTATGACCAAGGGCTGTAAGACATGTTTCATGTATTCTTTTATCGTTTGAATATATTTGAGAACTCCTTTTTCAAGGCATTTCACCAATTTTTGATTATATTGCCTTTTTATGTTCTTAGATTTTTGAACTACTATTTTGCACGTGACTGGATGACGTAGTTCCACCCATCCTCTCTGCTTTGCTGTAGAAAAGCTTTTCAATTTAATGAAACTACACCTTGTCTTGTTCTTAAAATATTGAATTATTCTAACGTGAACTGCATATCAGCTGTACCATACATATTCACACTACATAAATACATGCTACACTAAATCAAGAGACCCCAGGGGAGAGGGTGAAACCTCACTCAGAAGGGCAAACAGGATAGACATTGGAATTAGGAAAAACCAAGGAACAGGTCAGGAGCTCCAGAGTGGGCCTCTGAAAGACTATACCCACCAGTGTATGGAAAGAGATAGTGAGACTCATAGCCAAACTTTGGGCAGAGTGTAGGAAACCTTATGAAAGATCTGGATGGGACAGGAACTCTAGAAGGAGAACAATAGAGCCAAAAACCTGGGTCTAAGGGGGCCTGCAGAGACCAATACTCCAACCAAGCACTATGCATGGAGAGGACCGAAACCTCCTGCTCAGAGGAAGCCCATAGGCTGCTCAGTTCCCAAGTGAGCTCCCTAGTAAGGAGATCAGGAGCTGTCACTGACATGAACTCAGTGGCTTGCTCTTTGATCATCTCTCCCTGGAGTGTGCAGCCATGCCAGGCCACAGAGGAAGACAATGCAGCCAGTCCTTATGAGACCTGATAGGCTAGGGTCAAATGGAAGGGGAGGAGGACCTCCCTTATCAGGGGTTTAGGCATAAGGCATAGTAGGTCAAGAGGGAGGGTGGGTGAGATAAGGAGAAGAGGGAGGGGGATACAGCGGGGATACAAAGTGAAAAAACTGTAGTAAGTAAATAGGAAAAAAAGGAATTTCACAGCTATAAAGAAGTCACAATCTATTACACATCACTGAGATTACACTTAATATTATACTTTAGAAAACATTGGGATGACAGTTTTAATTTATATTTTTTCCAGATGTAGATATAAACATTATTGGAAATGAAATATTTCGAACACAGTTTCAATTGATTTTAAGCTTTTAGAAGTGATTTTGATTAATAAATGCTTCCATACAATAAATAATTGCAACTCATTAAAAATAAGGCAACAGCAGAATAAAATGAAGAGAACATTTAGTGTTTGACTTGAAACAACATAAAGTTAATTTGATAAATTTACCGTTTGTACTAAGGGATCTTTTCTTACGACAGAGCTTACAAGTATGTCTCATAAGCAAACTAAAACTAGTCTACACGGTGAAGGATTTTAGTGTGTGACATTTCTAAAACACTCCAGAAGAGAATCGTGAGGTCTTCAATTTGTTGGCATTTTTTAAGTATATATAAGATTTTTGTTTTTGCTTACAAGTTGCTTACAAGAACCACAGGGAGGATACAATGTGAATAAAATGTAATTAATAAAGAATAAAAATATTGAATCAACATTATTGATACAAAAATACATATATAGCATATAATAAATTTACTTTATTATAAATAAAAATAAAAGACACAGAGTCTGGGTAGATATATCCATGTGTAAGAATGCTTGTATGCAATCATAAGGACTTTAACATATATTTCTGTACCCAAGTCATAGGCCAGGTGCGGCTGACAGATTCAGTAACCTTGGAAATCCACTGGCCAGTCATCCTAGAGCAGAAGAAAAGCACAAAAGGACATCACAAGGCAAAGAACAATAAAGAAAGATGCCTACTGTCTTCTGGTCTCTGCATATCTGTATGCACACATTCATGAAGAAGTTCAATATTTACATAACAAACATCCCTCTACATACAATGTGGTTTCAATCAGCTGAGAAAAATGTGCTATTCATAAAGTAAAGAACAATCTCATTTTTTCTTCATTTCCATCTATTGTAAGCATATGATTTTTATTCAAATGGTTTTAAATAGTAAATACTGTGATGTGTTTTAATTGTTAAATAATCCACACTTGTCTATTTGTAATAATTTTATGTTAATCTATGATCCCATTGTTAGCATTCTTCCCCTCCAAATAATTATGCCTATTTGTTGAAGAAATCTTAAATGTTACTTTAGGTTAATTAGTGAAAATTATAATAAGAAAATGTAAAGCCCCTTGTGAATAGCCAACCATATTTTCAAATTAGAACCTTAATTAAAATGTTATGCTCCAGTAATTACAGAGTCATTAAATCTCCTATAGTGTTCCACAATTATTTTGAAGTTATATTTATTGGTGTACTTCAAATCCCCCAATGTGTCTTCTTTGGCATAAGAAAATATTAAGAACACCATGCTGCTCCTCAGCCTCCAGTTACCAAGCGAGGTCCAGAATCACTGATAATTTCCTTACTCCTGTACAAGCTGACAACATTTTCAGCAACTGAATCATTTCCACTTAAATATATCAATTAACCTTTTGAATAAGGCCCTTCAAAATAGTCAAGTTAATATGAAGAGTTTGTGCTTGCATGTCAGCACTTAAAGTTCACTGAAAATTGGCTTATTTTCCCTCTACCACCCTTTCCTCATCTCCACCACTTCAGGAAAGTGATAAAATAGCTGTTCATCAACGAATGAGTTCTGCCTTGCGTAAAGTGAAATTACACATTGGGGTATTTTGATGTCGGATGGTGCCTCCCATTTACATTTGTTGTAGCACATTAAAATTTCTAGTAATACAATTGTATACATTAAAATGCAACAAAATAATTAGAAATACAAAGCATTGTAAGGACATTAAATTCCAATGACTTCATGGTTTTTGGGGTTTTTTTTGTTTTGTTTTGTATTGTTTTTGGCCTAGAGACAATGACTCTTATTTTGAAATTTGTAGCCCTGAATGAGAGTCAGAATCATTTTATTTACTGTCGATAAAGAACTAGTATGATTTATTCTCTCTAACATGTATTTACTTAAATATGTTTTATACTCTATATAAACAATATATAAATGAATATTTTTATACTGAAAGTGATGAACTACTATGTGTTTCAACCAATAACAAATTGAAAATATTCAAATATTAGATTTTGTTTGTAATTATATGGTGTGGGGAAGAAGTTGATATGTGTTATATTCGCTGGTCAGTCTTTTACTAAACTTAGCCTGAGACTTACAGCTGAACATTGAGGTTTTGCAAAATGGCAACCACTATACTTACTTTATTAAAATATAAAAATATATGACATATATAAATACATTTACTACATTAAATATTCAAATACATATGTGCACGGAACACAGGTATTTCAGTTATACTTTAAATAACTTAGATAAGAATTTTCTCAAGTACACAAAAGGGATAATTGCTCAACCATGTTTATAGCAGCTTTATTTGTAATAGCCAGAACCTGGAAACAACCCAGATGTCCATCAACAGAGGAATGGATACAGAAATTGTTGTATTTTTACACAATGGAATACTACTCAGCAATCAAAAAGGAGGGAATCATGAAGTTTGCAGGCAAGTGGTGGGATCTAGAAAAGATCATTCTGAGTGAAATATCCCAGAAAGAGAAAGACAAACATGGTATATACTTGCTTATATAGACCTATAAGATATGATAAACATAATGAAATCTATACACCTAAAAAAGATAATCAAGACAGCAGACATGGGATAAGATGATCAATCCTGGTTTAGAAAGACAGAGGGGATGTTTATTGAACATATGACAGGAGTCTACTGAAGGCATCTGAAAGACTCTAAATAGCAGTGTTTTCAAAGCAGATACAAAGACTCATAACCAAACCTTCAGCAGAGTACAGGGAATCATGTGAAAGAAGGGGAGTTAGTCTGATGGGGAAAGGATAGGAGCTCCACAAGGACGAAATATATATGGGCACAG